ACCCCCCGAGTCTCCTGGATGGTGCGAACACCATCCCGGACGTCGTCGATGCCCAGGAGGATGCTGGCCTTAAGAGGTCGTTGACCACGTTGACCACATGAGATCACATGGATCAGATCTGATAGCAACGATCACCGTGGAGAATCTATAGATGATCAATTTCAATCATGTTAAGGTTGCACAATACCGCAAGGGCAACTTGCAACATCCATTTGATCAAAGATGACCAATAAGACCAACTCATCAAACATGTAATTAGACACGTATGGAAATTGATCGAAATGGACCCAAGACAAATCATGGAGGCAAACACCATCTACCGCAGCTCTCCCTTCAAACATGATGATACATGATGTGTTCGTCCACGTCGTTGTTGAACAAATCCACCCTGCCTGTATGTATAGCTACCTTCAAACAGTTGTCACCGCGTTTCGTGGCCCCAAGCCTAAAGGCCGAAAGCAGTGATCATATTTGGTTTCTTTTATTAAAGGAACCTAATAGCGATGGCCTCCAACCTACTAGAGATGGCCTTCAACCTAGGAGCGATGGCCTCCAACCCAATAGCAATGGCCTCCAGATGTCCGTAAAGGGTCAAGGTATGCCAAGATTGAATTGATCATGACCGCCTTCTGAAGGAGGAATATCATTCTTGTCGAATCAATGTCGGGCTGGGCTCTCTTAACTGGATCAAAGCTATGTGTCCTATAGTGCCAGTTCATCCACTGGATGCATTGAAGAACCAACCACCCCAACTGCAATTCCTGGGGTGATGCCTCCAGTGAACTCTGCTGGCTTCACTTGTCTTGCTTCACGATGGTTCGGAGACTGTCTATATCCCTCGATGGTTCGGAGGTTACATGATGTCTTCTTGTCAAGGAATCTATATATCTGACGCTTCAGGGACAGCGTGGACATTGGCGTTTGTCCAGAAAATCCTGCAACTCCTTTTGCCAAGTCAAGTTTTGCTGACCTTGATCTGAATGAGTGTTTGATGTGATCGACCTCGACTTGATGTGATCAGCCTCCACTGTTCTATGTTCCATGGGAGAGATAAATAAAACCCTCATGGAGGGCTAGACTGCTCAAGACCAGGTCCTAGTTTCCACCAAGCAACAACCCATCCAAAAGGATAGTGACTGTTCATGACTCTTCAATCCTTGTCTCGAATCCTGCACCTAATATCCCCGACAACTCGGATACACTCAGGAATTGGGAAACAAGTATTCTGACCCATAGTCTGGTATAACTTACGTAATGGACATTTCGTGCCACCAATCACCCCGATAGACTCGAGTCGTCTCGCAACCTGCTCCAATTCCCAATCCAACACATCCAGGAGCCTCTTGATTCCTGGGTTGTTCTGGGCAAAATGTCCATCAACAGTTGCAGCTTCAAACTCGAGATAAAAGTCAGGTCACCCCAATAAAGCAGGTAGGATATTGCAGAATGGCCTTCACCTTTCATTCCTAACGTATTATAAAATGATTTGTCCACCACATCATCACCTCATTCTATCGAGAGAGCCAACCTTCCTAGCACTTCCAATGAGTGCCTACAAGTATTTAGGGTAGGGTATATAGTCGGACACCCATCGGATGGTCCTGGTATAGAGTATTATAGCCCAGAGGCTCATGGACCCTCAAACTGCTACATGTTTGAGGTCCAAAACCCTGGCGGACTGAGGGTCAAAACCCTGGCGGACTGAGGGTCCAATGAGCCTTTGGGAGAGTTGTTTTCAATCAAATGCCCACCTGCTTCGACCAAATCCAAGAGACGATGGCTTCGCCCAGGAGCGTGGGCTGCCCTTTGATGGTATCCTTTGAGTGTGGTCATGCGGCCGGAGTGGGAGCAGAAGGGAATGGGCTGCTGCAAGCATCTTCTCACCTTACAAAACATGATGGATGAATGCTTATATATTCGTAACACCCCCCCCATGTGAAGAGGCTTTACAATCCAAATGGATTAAATCAAGATTCTACATGAAGGAATCTGGACCAAAAAGATCCTACTGTTGGCAGCTGTCTTTTGCAAAGCATGGGTGCCCCTTAATAAAAAAATAAACATTTCCCAAAACAAAGCCACCCCACCCACCGCAAACTTCGCACTGCCCACGGCCCTGCCCGCCTCAGAAAAGGGTCGCCGTCGCCCGAAGCGAACGGGGGGGTTGCGCGCGCGAGTCGAACCCGGCGACGGGTTTCGGCGAACACTGGGCCACCCGCACGTTCTTGGCACGAATCTCCGCCAGCTCGTAGATCTGTTCCACCTGCTCGTCGGTGATGCCACGGAAGATCTCTCGGAAGCCTCGTGAAGGCGAGTTCAGCCGCAGCGAGAGAGGTGCCAGCCATTGGTCGGGTCTTGGGAGATTGGTGCCGTTGGGCTCTTGAGAGGCTTGGGTCTTGAGAAGACGCTTTAATCTCGAAACAGGAGCACACAACTCCCAAGAAGGGAACACATGCATGTTGTCCTTTCTTGTGTTGTGTTTGTTATACCTTTTTGCCGTATAAATTTCTATAGTATTCTACGCTGACCTTCGTAATGTCCTCGGAGGAAACACCATTTCCCTGCACACAAAGGACTCAATCCTCTTTTTATACCATGGTTACCTGGACCTAGACCTTCATCATGTCGCGTCCTCACAGAGGACGTGCCAGTCACGAATGAGATCTTCAGCAGCTCATATCGTGATATACTGTGATGCTTCGTCATGTCCGACAGCGTCGTTTCCGACCCGGCCGAGATGGCCCCAGCTGCCCCCAGTGCGTCGTTGCCCTTCCGAACCGTCCGGGGGTGGCGGGGCCGACCTTCGGGGGTGAGGTTGTCGGACTTGGCGTTCTTGATGCCCGTGAGCAAGTCCACTGTGGCATACCACCTGGGTGATCTGGAGGGTGGCAATGGTATGCACATGAAGAATGGAGTGAGGTTGGAGGTTGGAGGGACTTTTGGCATCACAGAGTGAAGCATCTCTGATCTGCTTTGGATTCTTGACTTTGCTTTCAGCAGCTGAGGGCCATATTATGACATTTCGAACCGGCATGGATCCCTAAAAAACTTGACCACATGCTGAGAACAATTAGAGCATCCAATTCCCAGAGCGTGACCCACATCCCGACGTCGCTCAGTTGAAGCAGATCCAACAAAGGTAGACCATCCAGGACTGGCAATGCGGATCAACTGACCCCAGAGTCAACCACTGGGCCTATAGGGCCTATTAGGCCAGTCCCATGAATGGTCTGGGTATGTCTGGGTCATGTGGATCAACCCATCGCCCTCACCAAAAGAACCACCACTTCTCACCACACAGCACCGCACCATGCGACCCACTGAAACCGGACGACCACACCATACGACCATCGCCCATGCCGAGCCCAGACACGAGCTGGTGTACCTCAAAGCCATGGCTTGCCGCTGGATGGTGGTCCACAGAGTGTCCTGTCTGAGCGGAGAAAGGCGAGCTTGCGCGAGCGAGCGAGCGAGCTTGCGCGCTCTGGAGGGTGCGACGCTTCAAGCCCGATGACGTAGGAAGGTGCGACACTGTGCGAGCTTGGTGTGGAAGCGGTAAGAGGAGTTCCATGGCTCTGAAAGCGGGTGGAAGTTCCAACCAAACAGGGGACTCTTGTACTAAAACAACAAAGGGATCTGCGACGTGGCGTTCTAACTGATCGTTGCAAGACAAACGGCGATGTTCATGGTATGCGATATGAACGATGAATGCTTTACAAATTTGGAACTGCTTATTAGGGTCTCCCAAAGGGTCACCGTTGGAACTGCTTTGGGTCTCCAGAGGGTCACACCGATCATTTTTGATATATGCTATGTGTTGATGAACGACAAGATTTGATTCTTCTCACGTGCGGATGAATTCGAACTCCCACGTCATGCATCATTGGACTGGTTTCTAAATTATTAAATGACTTGCAAAAAAGCCATAGAAACAACCATGTGGGGACACCACGCAAGAGTCAAGAGCTCTGAAAAGTTTCACGCTGACTGAACATGAACGGATACACAGGGTGGAAATGATCGGGTTTAAATCCACATCAACACCATCAACCCCCCACGCAAATCCACTGTGTTTGGCATTCGACCATATTCGACCCACATCCATTTCACCTACCTCTCCGATTTGTCCAACACTGGGAACCATGGGACATGTTTGGATCATCCACAGGCATGTGAACCTGTCCCTGCTGGCTTCAACATTCTACCAACGCGCAACAAAAACGAAGAAGCCGCGCCTTGTCGGTGATGCCAGAGCGGATTTTCCCGTAGCAGTCGAAGATCACTGCCAGGACCTTAGGCTGCTGCATTGCTTCGGACAACGGAGGAGGCAATGCCGGACAGTCGACCGGGACCTTCTTCAGGCAACGGTACTTTGGTTTGTGCGGAGTACATCAAGTTTGCCGAGTTCCTAGCTCGTTTGGACGACGAAGTACCAGTACTTGGATATTACAGGTGGGGACGGCAAGCTGCGGTAAGAAGCTGTGGTCAAAAGACAGGACACGGGTCGCTAACTCGAAACACACCTAATATCACACACCAACTCTGGGGAGACCATGCCATGGGATGCCATGGGAAGCCCAGGTCAATGAACCCGATTTATTGAATCCTAGATTCAAGGGTTCTTGATGACAGGAACTGCGGGGTCTGGGATGATCTGGATATGTCTGGATGTTCTTTGAGAAGGCGTTTACCAGTGAGGTTGGATTCACCACTGAGATACAGCACATGCACATGATGACGGTGATCGGTGGTCTTAGGGGCTTTCCAATTGGATTTGCATTCAAAATAGGAAAACCTCCCACCAACGTGTTCACCAATGTATTGTGGTCCATTTCCTTCTTCCAGGGTGTCGAACTGCAAAAAATACACACCCATTTGCCAACTCCTGCTTTGTTGTACGCCAGAAACCAGCCTTAAAGTTGGCCACAAGCCACACAGCCTGTTGCCTTCTTCCGCGCGCGAAAAAGAAGAAAGCAGCCGCACGGTCCCCGTTGTTTTGCCTCCGGATGCCGCAAAAGCAACTCTTGGCGAGCTCATCGTGGCTTCCTACTCCCTGTAGCTGTGAGCTCCTTTGGCCATCCTTAACAGTTCCATCCTGAGGAGCTCCTTCCGAGCACCTGCCAGCAGTTCCAAAGCTCTCTCCCACCCTTGGCCCTTGCAGCAGCACCGCACCGCTGCATGGAAGGTCAAGGCATCCGGTGCCACGTGTGCGGACGACGCGGCGGAGAAGAGGTTCAGAGCCAAAGGCCAGGGAGCATCCGACTTGTCGAAGGCAGTGAGGAGGGAGTTGTACGTGATGATGCCTGGAGAAGAAATGAGAAGAACATGGACTGTGTGACTGGCTGGGTTTTGTTCGTTTGCAACTGCAAGAAACACCGGATTGATAACTCCAGATCCGCAAAAAGGCTGCTGGATGCGAAGTGGCCGAGTTATTACCGCAAAACCGTGATTCTGGAGACGAAAGTGGGGCAATCGTTTTCTTGGTGAAGTTCCATGTTGAGTAGTGTTTTTGGCACGGAAGCAAGTCTGGTCCGAAATCCTGACAGAACTTGCCAAGTCATGGAAAGCAAAAACACCATCGTTTCAACACGTTCAACTACCAGCCAGCTGATTGTTTCTTTTCATAATTCAGATCGCAGGTCTAAAGCCCGCTCTTCAAGGCGTTTCTCGAGCACAAACAGCAGAACTGACCAAGTCGAAGTCCAAAAGGCTGGGGCGAATGGACGCCAGCATCATGCCTGCAAAAGAGGGCACGAAGTGGCTCTCTAAGGGCTTAAACGGTTTTGGAGTAAGTTAGGCGAAGCCGACCGCCGGTTTGGGGAAGTGTTTGTTCTGTGCAACAGGAAATTCTGTGAGCAAACATGTTGAACTCCCAGTAAAAGGTTGAGACAAACAGCCTCCAATGTTGACTTGTAGGGAAGCATGCCTCCCAGTCTCCATCTGGTTTGCAATGAGTGATCAGGAACCGAAAACCCTCCTCGCCCAATAGGATCGGCAACGGCGCGGAATGTCACTCTGACTCACGAAAAGTGGAACAACGGTCCCTTGGAAGACGACTTCCCTTGACGAACAGATGTTGCACGGAAGCCAGGAAACTGGTGTGTCCCAAAACCGTTGGTGAAGGCTAGGTTCCTATTCATCCAAGGAGCCATCAGGAAAGATGGACATCGGTGATCGGTGGAGCAACGCCCCAAATAGGCCCAGCAAGTGATCTGGTATCTGCTTGGGTCTCCCTCCACTAGGTGGTCTTCACATGTCCTATATACCCCGACCCCCAAATAGATAGAAAAGTAGATCATCCCCATAAAGATGTATTGGAACCCGTTTCTATCTATTTGAGGATCACATGGGATCGATCTACTCGTCCAATCAGGATTGGATGATGTCTATACGTCCAAGCTGCTGGTGTAGCAGTGCAAGGCCCACTGCCACTGCAAGCCCTTCTCGCATGAGCTGATGACCGCATTGTAGCTCAGCACATCTGGTCGGACGACGACAGATGTGCTCATTTGCAGAAGGAGCTCCAGGACCCACTGCCACTGGGAGGCATTTTCGCCTCGGCAATCCGACATCCGACGCGGAGGGAGGGCGGGAGGGAGGGAAGGAGAATCTTGGTACATGGCTGGCAATTCGCTCATTGGTGGTCTTGTCGTGTGTGAGAGCCCCCTGTTTGGGGTGTCCGTTGCCAGAGGTTAAGGAAGGGGTGTCCATATTCACCACCCCTTGTTTGTAGGTCCTGGTGTCTGATGCAATCCTAGAAACATGAAAGAGTAGTTGAAGACCCACACTTCCCATTGGTCCTGGGACCCCGGAGCTGCCAATGAATGTGGACTCGCATGTTCCTCGTCTGAGTCAGAATGGTTCATAGTCTTTCAAACAGCATCCGGATGCCTTCGTGCCTTCTTGGGCACCTGGTATCCCCTAGGTGTGAATTTGATGTTCCAGAATGTTCAATGTGCCCACATCCGTTTTGCTCATCCCACCACGCAACTCTTGCAGAAACTGCGACGGTTTTTTGTCGTCGTTGTGCAGCCCTGGATCCTGGTTTTTGTTGCAGCCCTCCACTTCCTCCAAGTCACATGCACTCATCAGTGCATTGAAGGTGATGAGGTTTCTCTGGACAGCCCAGTCATCCATCCTGAATGAGAAGAAGGAGGAAGATTTGTGACATGCTGAAAGAACGGGGCATCCCTGCATTAGAACGAATCCTCCACCCCTGCATGAGAGAGATTATCATGCCTTCATGATTGAAACCTCAACACACCCACCCCTAACCCAGGCTTTCGGACACTGGCCCATGATTTGCTACTGCTACTACCAGTATGTAAACTTAGACCATGAACGAGGCCAACAATGGTGTTTTGCTATCTTTTTGCACTGGTCCAGTTTCTAAGTCCACCTCCAAGTCGAGCTTCCTTGCAAAGAACTCTACGGAGATGGACCACTGGGACTTCCGTCCACAAGCACTCATGGCCTCGTCCGCTCGAGTGACGCGACTGGGCAACCAAGCCCAGTGGGACACTGGCCGCAGCCGGGGGGCGCAGCGGTGGTCCACTAAAACTCGCGAGTTTACATGGAAGTGGAGTTCACATGAGTATACATGAGCTGTTTGTAGAGAAAAAGTTGTCTTAGAGGGGGGCCGAACTACCATTCACTTCTTCCTTTTTTTGAGGGAGTGTGCTTGACCCATTGAAGGACCCGCTTTTGAAGTCCATGAATGTTCACATGAACATCCAAGTCCAACCCATACAGCACCCAATGCTTGGACCAGTTTCACTGGGGAAGTAACCAAAGAAAAACTCGACGATCAGGCCATTTGTTGGCCATCTTGTCTTAGATGTTGTTTTTGTAGGAACATGTACTGCACGCTCCCTACAACAAACATGGAACTGGATCATCCACTGTTTGTAGAGGAGAATGGTCTGAAAACACGGGCCAGAAAGAGCGAGGGACCTCAAGGACGTTGAAACAAGGACGGTTGATGTTGTTTGGTATCTAAGTAGAGCTAGGTTGGAGGCCATTGCTAGTAGGTTGGAGGCCATCGCTAGTAATTCGCTAGTAGGTTGGAGGCCATCGCTATTAGGTGGAGGCCATTGCTATTCCGTTCCATTTGCTTTGTTTGGTACCAAAGTAGAGCTGTTGGAAGGCAGGTGTCTCCTCCCCACGGACCAAATTCATCGCACTCCTGGCCATGGTTGTGGGCCACCGTTTCCAGTCTCCGGCAGAGCGGCTGCGTTGAAGGTGATGACCGTAGGCAAAATGGACTGCTCTGTCATCCGAGACCAAAAGTATAGGGCCAAAGTCCATTCCAAACCTGGAGTGTTTTGGTCTCCGATGTGTTGATGTCTTTCCGCTCGCATTTGCCGTGGATGGGGGGTTTCCCAAGGCAGCAGCTTGAAGATCGTTTGGTCCGGAAAGTCCACACAAAAAGCGACGTTGTGCAACTGATGCAGGAACAGCCTATGAATTCCAAAACATGAGGTGTGCAAGCACTTATAGAAAAATCATGAAACATACAGTACATGATTACATTGGTACCATCTGGTACCGGTACCTTATGTCTATTTTGGTGTCCGCCAACTAGGACTGCTTTTACTTGCGCTGATGACTTTGCACCGTTCGTCCGGATACCTCGAATCGTCGAAGCTTTACACCGGAAATTGTCGTCCTCGGCATGACGAGGATCAAACAACAATCAACAAAATATTCAACGGGGATCAAAACAAACAAAAAGGGACTCAAAAAACACATTCTAGCCCACTGAGGATGGCTGGGGTTGAGCCATCGGCTCAAAAAGTCGTTACATGGTAGTAGTAGTAGTAGTAGTAGTAGTAGTAGTAGTAGTAGTAGTCGTAGTCGTAGTCGTGGTGGTGGTGGTAGTAGTAGTAGTAGGTAGGAGTTGGAGTAGTAGTAGTGGTAGTAGTAGTCGTAGTAGTACTAGTAGTAGTCGTCGTCGTAATAGTAGGAGTAGGGCGCAGCCACGGCTAAGCGAAGGTGGGCCTTAACACCCACCTTTGTGGCAGTGTCAACACGAAGAAGATATAGTTGTGGTAACTGTGGTATGACTGGTGTTGGAGGTACTGGTAATGGCAGGGGTAGTGGCAAACTATTAAGAAAGCGGGAGGGGATGCGGTGGAGGGCGCAGCGCCTCCCCCGCAATGCAGGCCCTCCCCCGCAATGCAGGCCCTCCCCTGCAATGCAAATCAAGTATAGACAGCGCTGGGCTGCTTTGTTTCTTGATTGGCTTAATTGGGCGTCACAGCTCAAGGTGAAGGTCTTATCATCCAACTTTGTGGGGTTGTCAGAGCTGAGCCTGCACTTTCATTCACCTTTGTGGACCGGACCAGGACCAAAGGGCCTGTGGACCAAGGGACCAAAGGATGGGACCAAAGGGCCTGTGGACCAGCGGACTAAAAGACCAGAGGACCTGCAGGCCACAGGGCCAGGAGAGCAGCAGAAGAGGCCTATCCAGGAATATGTTTTTGTGATGCTCTTTTTGTTACTTTTTATACTTTCTTTTTACCTCTTTTTAGGTGTTTTTTGATCTAGATGCCGTTGTATGTTATCATATGCACCCCTAGGGCTGCAGTGGTACCTTCTCAAACGGAATTTGGAGCTGAGGAGGCACCCACCCCAATATCAGCTTCGACACGATCGTACGACATCGTACCACTGGAGTTCCAAATTTGTATATGCTCCTGGCATTACTACTAGGACCAGGAGCAAGAAGCTACCAGTAACAAAGGGCATCGCTACTGGTAGCAAGGACGCTACTAGTAGCCTGTATACTGTTTGTCTCGGCCCAACGACTGAAGAGTGGCACAAACAAATGGAGATGTGGTCGATCAGCGACTCATGGTGCATCGTTTTTCAGCCCCTTTTTGGTTGAGATCGTGGTCTCCAGGATGCCGGATGACTTAAGACCAGAAGTTGGAGTTGAAAGGTAGGTGCCAAGAACATCCTCTCACTTAGGGACTTGATACATCTTGATATCACCCCTTCTGGATCTGCATGGTGGGACTTAATACATTCTTCACGACATGCACCAGTTCCCTTCTCCAACTCGGCCAGTCCTTTCTCAGCAGAGCTGATCAAGGCATTGTAGCTGACGACATCTGGTATCGCGATGTTACGGTGAATGACTTCCAAGAGGTGGCAAGCCATCCGCCACTGTGAGCCTTTCTCACAGGAACCTCAGCAAAGTCGCTGGTGGGCTCTCGTCAAATGTGTAATTGAATGCTTGCCCGAGTGCGAATGCTTTTTCCATGGCCGGTCCATAGCCTCATGGCTTTTTGGTAAGCCCTAGATGTGGAAACAAAGTTGTGTGTTTTGGGTGACCTTCCTGGAAACCACTCATGGTTCTCCATGACGGGGGGACATGATGCGGAACACAACCAACTTGTTGCGCAGCATAACCAACATTGGCCCAGTGGGCAAAGAAGATGACACGTGAACACGTGTCTGACACGTTGAGTCCGACGCTTGGGAAACCCCACATTCCGCACATTCGAGATCACCATGTTGCTGCATGAGCAAATCAGGTTAATCTCACCCATCACCCACCCATCCAGTAGTTATAGTTGCCCATCCAAACGACTGATGACAGCGTTGTGAGCGATGAGATTGACTTCCAGTCTTGCTTCTTCCAGCGACTCGAAGAGAGCGAGCGCCAGTGGCCACGGGGGTTCGGCGCTGATGGTCGAGCTGTAGCTGATAATGTTCGGGAAGATCCTCTCCCTGTCGAGGCATCTACGGTTCAGGCAACAACTCCGTACAGCTGAGACGCTGACCTACGCGGGTTGCCTTGCTATGGCCGTTCACCTACACTGGTTTCCCTTATTTGCGTAAGTAGATGTAAGTAGTACTTATTTGGCGGGCTTGAGCGGCTTGCACTGTTCTTTGCCATCTTTTCTTGCACATCCTGCATTGGGGACGAGAAGTTGCCATCCCCATACCCCAGCCAGTCTTCACCAATCCAGTGGATAGTGGACCCGTAAAGCATATATTGTTTCTATGACTTTGCTGAGCTGGGCAGATAAATTCTTCGTCGAGGTGCCTCCTCATCATACCAAAGAGCTGCACTGCTTTCGTCCATTGGACACTGCAGGCGCTGATCGCCGTGTTGTAGCTGATCAAATCTGCCATCGATTGACGCTGCAACATCTCGTAGAGATGCAAAGCATGCGGCCAGTCAAAGGCTTTCTCATTGGAACCTGAAAAATGTTGTTGCGGACGTTGCACTCTGCATTTCGGCATTTTCAGGCTGTCAGTGGGTCTGTGCCAGCTCAGTGTTGAACCCTAACAGAGCGTATTTATTGTCAGACTTTACATATCGATGGCAAGCTTGCGAACCGTGGTGAGCCCGTCACAGAGTTTGTGTTTAGGCTTTGGAAGTCGCAGCCAATTCTTTTTTGTTTCTTTTGGGATGGATCCTCAAGAGTACGTCATTGATTCACTTGATGTTAAGTACAAGAACCTGTCTTGAAAAGCCTTGGGCTCCCAAAAGCCCTTGGATAATGCAAGCTTTGTTTCATGTTCTCAAGACTTCACACTATACCATTTTTGTACACCCAAACGCAAGCTGAGATTCCATCCGTGTTTAGCTGTAATAAACTCAATCTTGGGTGGTCAAGCATCTGACGTCTTCTCGTAGATTCTGACGTCTTACGACCAATCTTGAAATTCTCGCCTGGTGGTTTGACGGGTCTCTCTGACACCGTCCACACAAACCAATTGGGTGCTGACAGCTGTGCCTCAGCAGTGAAGGCGACCATCTGATTTGGGGTGCCTAGGAACTCATGGCAGCATTAATGAGGATTGAGTTCACCTGGAGTTGCTGCTGCCCGACCATGCTGAGGCTCTGGAGGGCGGTCTCCCATCGCGAGTCCAAGCAACTGAGGAAACCTCAGAGGCTTTTTCTGCAACCCTTGGCGAGATTATTTCCCTTTTTCGAGGAATTGGCTTGAGGGAGAATCATGGAACATCTAGACAATCTACAGGAAACCCTTCGTTTGGGGATGAAAATGGCTTTCAGATTCATTGGCCGTCCCAACATGGAAGTGGAGTCCAGCCCTGGTCTTGCAAAGGACGTCTTGGACACAAGACCCCTCTCAACATGGCCATCCAACGATTCCCTCCATCATCTTCGACCCTCTGGGCCGCCCAACTAGGCTCTCACTATGAGGAGTACGGTTAAACCAAAACCGCATCCAAACGAAGATTCATCTCCACCTGGGACCAATGTCTGCGTTAGGGGTCTTAGACTCTTAGACGTCTAGTCTTGTTATATAGTCCACGGGTCGAAGGTCTCCACCTGAAAAAACATGTCTGCGTTTGGGGTCTTAGACTCTAGTAACGTCTAGTCTACGTCATTTTTGGTCCACGGGTTAGACACAACAACCAAGGACACGGTCGACAAAACACAACGATGGTCCTGGTGACAAAACATCTTCCAAGCCCCGCTTGTGTGAAACAAATTCCCCTTGGAGAAAAGGCTACACTCACTGAAACTATCATGGCTACGGCTACGGATGGCATGGCCCTGTTTCTGGGAGACCAGGGAGTCCTGGTCAGCTCCGAGCTGCTGGTGATGCTTGAGCTCTCGGACTGCAACCTCACTGCCGATCTAAAGAGGAGGATACCAAAAGGAGACTCTAAATGACTCCAGTCCATATACCCGTTGAGACTCCTGTTGAGTTTCCAAGTGCTTCCTGAGAAGCCAACTGGGTGGAGTTTGTTGTTTTTCGTGGGCAAGGACTGAGGATAATTTCTAGTATCTTTGATTCATTGATCTAGACTAGAGGTGCTGGGGACTGAACATGGGCAGGTAGGGACTGAAGCCAACCATTTTGATGAGTTGGATGAGTCACCTTTTTGGGGGTTGGGGTCAGGGTCCAATCTCCGCCACTCAGCCTCAAAGCCAAGGGTAGTCTTTCTTTTCAATCTCTAGTATCTATACGGTGGTCCCTAAATAGATACCGGTCAGTAGAGTAGAAATGGTTTCCAAGCATGTTGAAAGGGGACTTTTCTATTATTTGGGGATCTGACTATATAGTCTTGAGGATTCCTCCCCAGCTCAGAGAGTTGGTTGAGATCCTGATGAGGTCTCGATTCCAGCGGTGTCCAGATTCCTCGGCTTGGGCGCAATTTCAAGACCTTCTTGGGGTGTGGGTAGTCACTTCGCCGACCACGTCGCCGTGGAAAAAAGTCGCCCGAAACATCATCCTAAGCAGTCTTCCTGGTCTCTTCACCAATCCCATTATTGTTTTATCGAGGTATGAGGTACTTTTGACATCCACATCGTCTCAGCCCAAGCAACCGCACAAAGGCCATCTGCTGCAGCAGCCTCACTGCTTTAAGCCAGGCGGAGTTGTCTAAGCTGCTCATCGCCACCGTGTAGATGGCGGCCGTTGGGACAAGGCCTGCAATGTTGCGGGCAGCCGTCAACATCGGCAGCTTGTTGGGGGGTACAGTGAAAAGAAAACCTCGTCTGGAGTCTGTGCATAAGAGTGTTTTACATTTTGACAACTAGAATGGCACACTCCTTCCTAGATTGCGTTGAAAGCATTGAGGTAGACTTAGACGATGCAAAAGGTTTCATGTCCAGAGATGCATGGACAGTTTGAAGGTGTCCTGTCACAACCTGCAGAGTTGATCCCTAACCGCCACCATCGCCTGAAGCGGTGATCATGCTGAAGAACTTCATAGCCAATGGCCACAGCGGACCGTCACAGGATTTCATCAGCATGCTAAAGCCGATCAAATCGATGGAGACGGATTGGTGCGTGAGAAGGGAAGTGGCCAGGGTCCAGTGGTTTGATTGAATGAAGAGGCTGCCGGCCGTGGCGTAGCTGATGACATCGGGTAGAATCCCTTCACGAGCCATGGAGAGGAGCCTTGATGAATTAATCAGTCTGAAGAAACAGTCCCAAATTATGTGTCAAACCCTGCATCATCCTGCATCCCATCTGCATCCCCGCGATAGTTTAGTATATCCTTTGCTGGTGTATTTTAGACGGACGAAAAAGAAACGTACCCAACAGCCACTGAGAATCACTTGCAAAGCTGTCTGCCACTGCAGTCCTTTACCACATGAGCTCAGCACAGTGTTGTAGCTGATGGTGTCCAGCATGAGATGCTTTCGACAGCGGTCCCGAAAGAATTGCAGTGCCAGCTGCCACTGAGAGCACTTCTCCTTGGGACTCGGGTGTTCAAAACGGATATGTAAGCTAAAATGATAAAACCATATAAAACCTAGACATTTTCAATTGTTGCTCTGGGGCCTAGACTATCAAACAGGGATGGGCCCTAGGTCTATACCCTTGCAACGAGCATGGAAGCAGAACGTGCTCAGCTTCTAGAGGAACATGCTTGTTCACGGCTAAAAAGGGATCAGAACAAGTTCCACTTCCATGTTGTTGTTGAAGGCATGTTGTTTTTGGCAGAAACAAACTCCGCCACGTCTCCAAACAGCTCATAGCGGCATTGCAAGTGATGACGTTGCTAGTGACACGGTGAGCCTGCAGCAGGTCAAAGATGTAGAGCGCATGCTGCCAGAGCCTTGAGCGACCAAAGAAACTGACGGCACGAGTCAAGCTCCGATCCTCAAGAAGAATGCCTTGATCCAGCAAGGTCTCCAGTGCTGACGGCAACTGTTTGGCATTGTCACTTGCCAAGACCTTCTCCAAAGATGGTGCTTCCCCTTTGTATGACGTCTCTGTGATGCTCTGAAAGTCTGCAAAATCTGCAGATGCTGATCTTGCAGACTGGCATAGGATGAATTCATGAATTCATGCGAGGCTGGCCGGGCACTACTACGAGGGCTCCAGCGGCTGCGAAGAGAATAACAGCCCTTCGCACTGTAAATGGAGCTAACACCAAGAACGAGAGTCCTTCAGGTATAGAAGCAAAGAAGCAATTGGCGGGAATTTGCGGGTACATCTCGATGCTCCCAAACCTTCTGAGACCCTCCGAGAGGGGCCCTGCTTAAATTTCTCAGGCGAACAGCTTTTGTCCTGGGTCACAGTTTTCCCAGTGTCTAGCTCATGAAAACCATATTCAACAGAGAAAGGACATGACCCCAGGTGAAGAGGAATAAAGCCGATTGGGTTCAAGATCCAGCAATGGGTTCAAGAGCCAGATCTTTATCATGATTTATCAGCATATAGCTAAATAGATCTAAATAGCTTGGGTATACCGTTGTTACCTATCATAAACATCGCAATTGGGGCACCAGGGAAAAGCACCAGTCACGCCCACTGACTGGGTGCGTGACTGCATGTTTGCATGGTCTTTTTCGCAGTCCAAAAACAGCTCCTTCGCTCCAACGGGCCCGGATAGTATGTTCAATTGGAAGAACACCCCTCCTTTTCTGACTGATGCTTAGAAGGGAATGAGAGTCGCGGAGAGAATGACCCCTCACTATAGATACCATAAGATCCATTCCCTCATTCTTTACTAAGCACCAGTCAGTTTTTGTTGCCTGTTGCTGGAGAATCCGAGTCCAGGACATGTCCAGTCAGTCTCCAACATGGGCGAGAGATTGACCCATCCCCCATCCCATCCGTGGCTTTGCATGGATGATTTGCAGCATCATGACCTCTGCAAAAAAGAGTATAGAGGGTGGATTGATAAGGACACACTGTGTCAGGATATTTCAACTTTTATGTCTTTCCATGTCTTTCCATATTATATGAAGGTCCTGAAGGTGGCAGGCCGGCCTTAGCATTTCTGCCACCTTCAGGACATCTCGCACACCACTCGCAGTAAAAAAGGTGCGCTTAAACTAAATCCAATGGTTGAACCTCTACAACCTCTCCTTGAACACTGCAAGGATTGGTCCAATCTTTGTTCGGTACAGGACATCTGCTTGAATTGAAACGGGGAAAACCTATTGCTGCGGCTCAAAGAAATTAAAACCACAGGTGTTGGTCGATTTGGCCCTTTACAATGGAGTTATGCCATTTCATGCCCATCTATATGAGTCTAGACGTCTAGATGTGTTGGTCTTCAGAAACAGCTCAACCTCTCACATGATGTCGCCGCCGCTTCGAGTCAGCAGGCAATGTTGATCACCACCAGACTGACCACGATGATCATCAACCAAACCCAAATGGCCGCCGTCCACCAGTCCTGGCGCTTCATGTCCGATCCGGACCCAAAAGCACCGTCAGAAGACCCGAACGAATGCATAGGGCCTCATAGTGGGACAAAAGCCAAGGTGATTGCAAACATGGGGAACTGACCAAAGTGGAAGAGTTTTGCTATGAGTTGTGCAAAAAGCAGGTGATGTTTTTGGCTTTCTAGCTGCTCCCCAAGGAAGAAACACCGCTCCCAAAGAGTCCGGTTTGGGGCACGCCCAAACGGACGTCTTCAGGTCCCAAACGAACATCTTCGGGTGCTTTTCGTGGAAACCGGAAGCAGATCTGAAAGAATTTGATGACTTGCATGAGCCGATCAACCAGTGGAAACCGTGAAACCCCCATCGTTTCAGGATTCCTTGTGTCCCAACCTCAAGAGGTGGGGTTTGTGTGGTCTTGGTGACCATCGGGCTACAAAGAAACACTTGCGTGCCCCCCACGTGTCCCCCACGTGTCCCGAAGACCCGCGTGTCCCGGTCGTGGCGGGTCCGTTCCGGTTCGAAACGAACCATGGAGCCAGCACCACCCAGCTTCGGGTATTAGATGGACACAGATAGTCAGGGGGGTTCTATAAAGCACCCTTTGGGTGGTGCTGGAGCTGAGTATTATGGTATATACTTCATGATGTTCATATGTTTTCATGCAATACGCAAGTCAATAAATGTGGCCTTCATTTGTGGGGCCTAAGGTCTCTTCATTTTGGGTCAGTCGACTCCTTCCAACATGCTCCAACGAACGCCACTCCTGCTCAGTAATCACATCCCAGTCAGTCTTGAACGAGACCACCTGAAACAGGCGCTCACCACGGATCTTCTGAATCTCCCGAAATCATGGAAGCCAGCAGCTGTTTGGATTCAGATGTATTCAGCAGTTCATCATCCGAAATTGGGGCAATGTTCCCATCCACGTAACCATGATAATCCTATGGAGTCTACCCTCCCCAAAGCAGCTCTGCCCAAAGACCAAACATTTTATAAACCTGGGCGAACATGCCATAACCCTCCCTAATCATCATCCACCGGTTCTGGCGGAAGATCTGAATCTCAAAAATTAATGGATCATGTCTACTATCCAATGAAACATTGACTATATATGTATATACTACTATTACTATAGTAATATCTTCAAACACTTGGATTCCTCAAGTCACAAAGGGCTGTGTGGCCGGCTACGTTCAGGAAGGCTTGTCTTCCACGTCCATATCTCCAGGAGAAACGCCTGAATGGTTTGAGTCTGAGTTTTCGTCCAAACTCCGAACAGCAGCATGTAGCCGCGTAGCCTTAGGGCTATGTCACATATGTCACTATGTTAAACATGACCTTCCAAACCAATCATCGACCCGACCTTCGTGCCACCTTCTACAAGACGGTCTCATCCTCCCCAAGACGCGATCCCGGAAGGATCCCGGACTGAAAAACACTATAGCCATGCCTGTGATTGGTAGAGCCACCCAAAGCTCAATATGGATCTTGCCAAAATACACTTCTCAAAGCGTACGAAAAGCAACAGAAAACACACATTAATTTGTCCTCCACCATCGCTTTCGGATGTGATGGATGTGGTTCCTTGGGCCTCCCGGAGCCTCATGCTTCCCCATGCTCCGAGCAGTACCATGCGGGCCATGCGGGCCGCCCGTGTTGTGTAGGTCGATGAACCAAAAGGAATCTGAACATGAAGCCTCCGACCCGATCACAATTCATGATTCATGATGGATTGGAGGCTTCACACGGAAGTGTTCAACCCGCCCAAGAAAAGGAACATCGGTTCCAAGTCGTTTGAACTTCTCCCAAACATCTCATCTAGCTCCAGTTCCGCAATCTCGCCACCGCCGGTCTGGTCTGCCTGCTCCAGGCTCTTGGCGAAGGAACCGTAGACCGTGGAGAAGTCCTGAGCTGAACCGTAGGCGGCGGGTGGCGAGCCTTTTTTGGTCTTGCGAAAATGGCGGAGACAGGCCAGCCAAGAAAGAGTACAAAAGTACCTATAGGATAGAAACACTTGTATGAGAGAACATGGGGGAAACTACACTTGCAACAAGATAAACACCGATACGCACATCATTAACATGATATTGCAGCTACTTGAGAATGGCTCCACCACAGTAGCCAATCTATCTGCAGTGCCAGTCCACTCTCCACACATTTTTGTTGACATGTGGTTCCTTATTGGTTCCTTATAAGTTGCTTGCGGTGTTCCCTTTTTATTTCGACTGAAACCATCCTCTTCCATCCTCTACCCACGGAAAATCCCGACGAGAACAACCTCCCTCTGTCGTGTCGTGTCGCGCCTTGAGCTTGGAGCCGAAGAGGATGTGCCCGGCAATGACGAAAGCGCTGAAGATGAAGAGGAAAACCACGAACCTCGGGACCGAACGGTCGGTTCGTCGCGGTTCGTCGTTCGGTTCGTCCCGGTTACGGTTTGAAACGTGAGTTGCCTGAGAGCCGATAGCTCTACTTGCTTTGGATGTGTCGCTGACGCTGATCATCAAAAGACACACAAATCATGATAAATAAAGAATTGAACATGTTTTGAATTTCTTTAATTCAAGTTTAAACATATATTAATATATAAAGATAACTAAAGATAAACATCTTTATGCCGGGCTGAGATTGTGTCTGGGACACATTAATCCAGCGCCAAATACACATTCCGCGGAACAAATCCAGCCGTGGTCGTCAAATTCGGTGCTTCTCTTGGGTGCCTTGTGAGGATGGATTGATGGAACAGGATGAATAACCCCCCTTTGAACTGGAGGTTGGTGAAAAAATCTCAACAGTCTCAGAGTCTCTTAATTAGACCCCCCCAAAGCCACCCCACAAAGGGGGGTTCCCTGCTTGATTAACTTGATTGGCACACGAGTTGGGGGACGTACCACGTGGCGAACACGGGTGGCGAACGTGAACACCCACGGTGAGATGTGACCATCATGTTTTTTGGCTTGCTTTTGCAGGATTTGCTTAGGCTGTTTAAACAATCCAAATCCATCCAAATCCCAATTTCCACTTACTATATATACCTCTCCCTTGAGCTATCAATCTCATTTTCCTTCTGATAGGAGCTATTCCCACCCCACAAACCTCTATTATGTCTCTCAAACACTCCGTGAACTCCACCATTCAGTTGCTCCTTCTTCCACCCCCACATGACCCACCGAGAGATGGCCCGCCGCGCCCGCCCGCCCGCCGAGAACAGACCTGCTCCCCGGATACCCTGCGAGGAGCAAGTGGACGATGTCTTGGAAGGCCATTTCCAAAGTGTTCACCAACAAAGCCAGTCGTGGTTGCCCCTGAAAGCGGGCACTTGAAAGCGGTTGGTGTTTAAAGGTGAAAAAAGAACACATCGAACATTCCTCCATGTTGCAATTGAAACAACATTTAACCCAAGATCGTCAGAGAATGAACTGGTCCGAGTGGATTTCCATGCATGCTTGCTATTCCTTGCTAGGACAGGACTCTTCCTGGTTTTTGGCCGGTCGTTTTTCTTCGCGAAAGAACACCAGAAACAATCACACACACACACACGTCTTTCCGGGCCTTGGAGGCGATCAAGAATTGCGCCAGGATCAGGATGTGGAACATGGTCACCAAAATCAGCAAATCACCTGGGCGATCGCGAGGGATTGGGCGCCGGTGGATGCGTTTTTCGCGCCAGATGCGCAAGTATGGTAGAAGTATGTATACAGGTGATTCCAATTTAT